CCTGTGATATTTTCTTCTGTCATCAGGCTCTTAAAGACCTCATGGTGGTTAGTGCTCTGCAAGGTCGTGGAAAGAGGCAGACCCTCTGAAGTAGTGTTTTGATACTCTCTGCAAGCATGTCGTAAATTCAACCCGAAGTGAATACAGTACAAAGGGGTTGAATTGACACATTGCTGCCATATTGGTACACAGATATTTGGGCAACTTTTCAAAACTCAAGGGGGGCCAATTTCTAACTATGACAATATAGATGAATTATTGAAGACTCTTGCTATTGTTTGTCTTTAGGAAGGTATGTGTGCCCAAGAGATCCAATTAGTCCTTAGCCTATGTAGATGTTTATGGAGACATTTCTTAAAATTATAATTATGTAGTTATACTAAATCTGTTAAAATATGATTAATTTTAAGCATTGAGTGTATTTGAGGCAGAATAAGCTTATCAGGAGAATATTACCATTTGTTAGATAAAAAAAAATTTTTTTGGGAACAAGTATTCGTTAATCCTTTAAGTTGGAACTATACCATAGATTGTCCTATTACTCATATACCTTTCTAAAAAAATGTTTTTGTTAGTTTAAAAAGTGAATAATGCAGTGATTTCTTTTATTCTTAATTGTAGTTTTCCCGTGGATATATTAAAAATATTTTGAAATAAAAAATACTTTCTTTCTAAATCCTAGTTTTGCATCTTGTAATGGAATATGTACCATCGGGCTGATCACTGCAATGTCACAATATTGTTTTCCATTTTTATTTGAATGTAAATCAGCAAATGAGAAGCAATGAAATTTCAAATTGCTAAGGTAATTTCTCTATGGTATTACTAGATGACTCGGACAAGTGTTAAAACAGTGATAAATGAAAATAAACAGCAGTATCACAGAACACAAGATTTCTTGGTAACCACGGGTCAGACCTAGAGAATGAGTATCATTCTGTCCCAAGAAATTCGCCTCTTCATCAGTTCCCTGACAAGAAATTGGTCTCACTCTGAAATGCTGGAGGTTTGAGATATTCCCATACTGGGTAAGAAGTATGTTGCAAAGGAGAAATCCCAAATGCTTAAAATCTTTCTAAGGTAACGGACACAAGAGAATCCTTAGTCTTTGTCTGTAGCTTTGTAGTAAACAGTATTTTCTTAATATGTGGTTTTGCTACCATATCTCATTCTGCTCTCTACCATCTCTCTTTTGGATGATTTCTTGATCAAACTAAGATTTCTTTTCGATGTCCTCTGAAAGTATTCTGGAATTAAATGTATTTAGCTAAGGCAATCTTCCTTTATATATATGTTTGTATTGAAAGAATTTTACTTATCACATTTTTCCATAATTCCCTTGTGTATTGATTGAACCCTTGTCAGGAACATGCCAACATGCTGCTGTTCCTCCTGTATTGTAAACTTTTTCATGTATAATAAATTAATGGCTACTACAGTTACTGATGTGTATAAATGCAGAAAGAACTTGTGCCATGCCTCAGAAATGAGGGTAAATATTAGCAGAGAAATACTAGGATACAAGTAAAAGCTATGTGACACAAATAGAAGAATATCAGTGATCAATGAGTATTAATGATACTCCATTATATGGAATGATATTAGCCAATATGGGCTAATATCAAACCACATCTTGCTCATCAAGAGAAAGCAAAATTTCCTAAACAGTAACCATTACTTTAATTAAAGTTACCTGAAATTTAGTTTTGGGGGGGTTCTGGTGGGATTTTTCATTTGGGTGGATTTTTTTTTTTTTTTTTGGTTGGTTGGTTAGTAATGTTTGGTTTTTTTTCCTACTGCAGCTTCTACAATGTCCGTAATTTTGATGAACGTCCTTTAAAAATCTGACACTCTTACAGTCCATTTAGTATCAAATGGATACTACACTTTGGACAAAACACACAGGTTAACGTGAAGAGAGGTAGCTCAGTTTAGCAAATGTTTGGTTATGTGCATAACTTGGGGGCTGTGAGTAGTCTAACTTTTTTTGCCTTGTAACTTTTAAGCCTCATACTGTGATACACTGCAAAACTTGGGTGACTTTAGCGTTTGCAAAGATACAAGCTTCTTCTGTAATAATAATGTTAGAATTTCTTTATTGAGCTATTCGGTGACCTGTTCCTATAAAACTGAAGCTACCACCCATTTTAAACAGCCTTCCTCAAAGCTCTTTGCATGTATAGTTACCTTCCACAGCAAGAAGAACTTCTGATGCATATGTCACCAATACTTGAAGACATAACTGTCACATGTCAGTGCTGTCACTGTCATAATATTCCTGTGAATATTAAGAGTAATGCTATCTATACAAATCTCTTTGGAAAATAGCTTAGGGCCAAATGTCAGTATGTGCTAGAGAAAACAAATAGTTATCTTTCTGCTGGTGCACAGGCTTTGGAACTTGTGCCAGTGTTTGTGGAAAACAATCCTAACTGTGGATGGTATTCCGTAGAATTAAAGTTGCTCTAACCGAATACTTAGCTCAAAGGTAATGAAAACTGTTCTATATTTGACAGGGAATTATATACTGTACATAAAATAACAGTAAAACACCAGTAAACAAACCCTTCTGTTCTTGCTTTTCCTGAAATTGGAAATAAAGCTAAATTGCCCCTTCACTCCAATATCCTTTTTAGAAGCTCTTGAATTTTGCTCACTCAGTGGTATATTGCTGAAATGGCAAACTCTCTTCCAGTAATTTTAGGAAAAGCTATCATCAAGCTGTCAACAGTCTAAATTGAGATTAAAAGTACCAAAGAGAAACCTTCCCTGTTATCAGAGTCCCAAATAAGTACACTTGAATAGGCAGATAACATCTAGAGTGTACAGTATGAGACCACTTATTCCTCCAGGTTTTTGAGTGATTTACAGGGATGAAGTCTTATGTTAAATAGTTAGTGACATTTTTGTTCTTGTCTTACCCACAGCCATTCAACCTAAAGAAAATACGTAGTTGTGAACAAATGCCTGTTCTTGGAATTAGTTTCAAATACCCACTGCAGGGTATAAGGAGCTTCTATCTCTCCCTCTGACATGTTATGTGCCCTCAGCTCATATTGGTCATCAGAGAGAAGATTTCCAATACTTTGTAGTCCAGAGTAGATTGAGCTTCATGTTTACAGTTTACCAAAATCAAAGTATTATTCACTCTAGCTGACGGTGAGAGTTCTGTCTATAGCAATATGTCTCTGAAGAAGAGGTTCCCTGAACAGGGTTTATTATCACTGGTGAGTCAGCAGAGGCAGGATATTCTATATTTTTATTCATATCTGATAAGTAGCATCCTTGCTGTTTAGGCAAACCAGTCTCTATTTAGACGTTTGTTTCGATGCATGATGCATATTCATGGTGTGACCTGATTTTTGCTAGGGACAAAAATGGGATTATAACTATGGTCTGACATAGAAATTGGTGGCTGGTCTCCAAAAGCTTAATATACTAATCTACTCAGTCACTTAGCTCTTAACATTTTTATATACTATCAACTAGGAGTCCAATAGCTACAACAAAGAAGATTTCTAAGTTACAGCCTTTAATAAACTATTAGCATGATTAATTTTCATTGTTGTGGATTTCTGATTATCATTCTCAGGTTTGGTCTGGCAATTAAGATTTGAATCAGTATTTAAGCTTTGTCTTTCCCAAAATATTATAGTCCTGTTTTACAGCTTTATCAGATGTTGTAAATCTGTTTTTTAATTCTTCACAATTAATAAAAATATATAAATTTTGAGGATATGATTAATTACAAAGTAAGATTGAGGTGGATTCCTTTGATTGACTTCTACAGCTTACAAGTCAATATCTCATTAGGGAAAAAACTGCATGGAAAATAGTAATTATTCTCTCAAGACTCACTTTAGTAACTTATCATGAGATTCAAGAAATAGTTTAGCTTTTGTATTTTTCTCTTTATTTGCCTTATTTTTGCTATTAGAAATTATCGTGTAACTTTTAGTGAACACTGTCCTTTGTGTCTTCTATTAAAACACATCATCTTTTTATGTGTGTTGAAATGGGTAGATTGTAAACACTCCAGAGCAAACTCTGTATTTGAAACTGGACATATTACTACCATGATATCAATCTGTATAAGTTAAACTGAATTTTAAAAACTGATGATGATTCATATTCACCAACACAATCTTTTATTTTCATATCTTCTTCCAGCAATGCAACACTGCTTCTCTATAACTAAAAACCAAGATGGTAAATATGGCTTGTCTTGGCTTTATATTGTTCTTTCCTTCAACAGAAACATCCAACTGAAGGAAGATTACTTTACTATAAAGTATAGTTTTACAGTCTAATCTTTTTAAAATTGGAATGAGAGGATCTTGAGACTTTTATTATGGAGAAAGATTTGTGTTTCTTCTCTTCTCCCTTAACATTTTGGTATTAAGGTTTCTGACCTAGTCTTCTTGGGTATTTAATTCTTTTATTAGACTCCTGGTGTGGGTTTTAAGTGTTTATTATTAATTCTATATACTCATACACTTTTTTTGCATAGTAGGCACTATAATTTTTAATGGATCACTTCATTTAGTTCACAGGATGGTGGAAAAGGAAACTATTTTTTTTCTTTTTAGTTTTGAAAAGTATCTAAAGTGTCTAATCCCAGCTTTCTATTTTCTGTCTCCTTTCTTACATGTAGACTCATTCATATCTTCCTTTAGGTACATATCAATCTGTTTCAGCAAAAGGAACATTTTTAGCATTGCCTAAAGATTTCCTGATGGTAATTTTTTTAAGTTGTTAGCTGTATGAAAATATTCTTTTAGCAATGATACTTCATTTATGTTGTTGTGTAAACTCTTTTGAGTGCAGCTACCTTGATGGACTGCAAGCAGCCTTAACAAAAAACAAATTAGTCCTCCAAGGCTGGTGACTCTGTGCACCTGTAACCCCATCACAGCACTCATCTTGCAGGTGCATCCGCTTTGTATAATCATTGACCTCCACTCAGAATGCTGATAATGTTGGTTTTGTCACACAGGCCTCCTGTGATGCTGCTTCTGCCTCTCCAGAGATGCACTATACACCTCTGCCTTCCGGATCCAGAGACCTCACCAATCACAGAGGTATGAACTAAACTTTTATTGGTATGAACTGCTGCAAGGTGATAAGCTTTACTGTAAGGACTTCTGCTGCATTTCACTTTACAGAGAACACCATGCCTTTCAAACACTAGATGAGAAAACCATACCTGTCAAGACTACAGATTTTAACTCATATTAAATAGGATTTAAAGGTAGTCCACTGGGAAAGAAAATAAATCTATGGATAATAACATTCAGTGATTTGTGTGTGTGTGTGAGAGAGAAAAACGTGAAGAGATTAGAGTGCTTAAACATTGCTAAGTAGATGATTACATGCAGCACTGGTAATTTTGAGAGAATTTGTAAACTTTCTAGTATTTGTAAAGTGAGAGCTTTTTGGCAGTTTAACAATTTAGGTCTATAATTTTGAAATGTTCACACATTTTCATTGCAATAAAAAGGGATTCTTCTCTGTTTTTCAACATTAAAGGCAGATCAGTGTTCAATTTCCTTTTTCATCAATCCTCAGATCTTAAAAAACACCTTAGGCAAATTCTCAAATTCTTCCTGCATACCTATGGAAAAAAAAATTAGGGAACAGGTGGAAAATTGAAGTCAGGAAGAGTGCATTCCAATTTTTTCACCTCTGTTCAAAAAAAAAAAAAAGGAGAAATTTGTAAAGCTTGGAGCACTTTTTTAGCTTTTAACCTAAAACAGAGCAATGATCCTCTTATTTATTTTTTATGTTATACATTATTTCTGCATTGATAATGTAAATAGTTTGTGTAGAAGCAGGTTTTGTATAGGATCCCAGAGTCAAAGTTAGCCTTACATTTATGAATTGATGGTAGCTTATTTTAGTGTGTGTTCAAATTCTACAGCACTACAGAAGATGGGGGCAGCTTTAGTAGATTTTCGTATTGCTTGAAACTTTCTGAGAGCATCAGGCAGGCAATGCACCTGAGCAAGGATCTGTGATTCAGGTGGGAAGGATGAGGGAAGCAACAGATTAGATTTTAAGTCATTGCAGCCTATATAACTGTCATTGTACCAGAGCTGAAGATGAATATGAAGCTACATTGTGGCTTTGGCGTAAATTGATATGGCATCCTGGAAATCAGATGTCCTGGAAGTGCTGTAGTGCGTTGTGTTTGGACACTGACCTCATGTAGAAACTGATACTTTCTAAGGAGAAAGGACCAACCAAAATCTTAGATTTGAGCACACAGCTGGACTTCAGAGATTAAAATAAAAACAGGAAACCCCCCCAAAAAAACCTGCAACTCATTGCCCTCCTGCTCTCCCCCTCCCCCCCCCCCATAAGTGCCTTTGAATTTCAGATAACCATGTTGGCTTTAAGGTTGGGTTTCTAGTGTTGGATTAAGTAGCTATACTCTACTAAGACAATAAATAGAATGAAAGAATGTTGTACATCCCTGACGTCTATAAAAATACATAAAAAGTACCATTAAATGCCATGTATTCTCAGATCTTTTTATTTACATGATGGTGAATTGGAAGTGTGACTTCATGGCTGATTTTGTTATGTGACTTGGCAAAAGAAATGCCAGTAGCATTAAGTATGAAAAGTTGTGTGCCTGCGTTATTGATTGACTTCTCTTGCAGTAAAGCAATTGTGTGGCTCTAGCAGGCATTGCAGATGTGTCCATGTGGGTGTTCATTCAGAACTGGAGCTTGCCAGGTTCTAAGCACCGCTGGCATCACTAAGATTTGAGAATACCTGCTCTCTTGCAATGAAAGGGGAAAATTATATTCCCCAAATTACGAACTTTTTACCTATAGCTATTCACGTAATTCTTTATTACTTGTCTTTACTCTTCTCAGAGATCTTATGCTCTGTATGCTAAATATCCTGAGAATTTCCTTGTGCTTAAGCACAGTTATAAATAAAGTGAATGGAGAAGAGAGTGTCATCCAAAGAAAGGGTAAAATTAGCCCTAAAAAGACATTGTTAGCATGATCTGATAAGCTTAAATAAGTATATATAAATATATATATATATTCACAAGGAAATAATTAAGGAAACTTTTCAGAATTCCAGGTGTTGGAACAACCAATTCAACAACCTCCTGGCAGGGTCCATTAACTCAATCAACTTCTTTTATACAAAGAAAAATCTCTAACTTCACAAGCCCATAAAAGATTAATTGGAGTCAATAGAAAAACCTCCAAGGAAAGAATGAAATACTTAAAGAGGTTCTGAATATCTTCAAGTTTTTTCTTCATTGAGTGCTTTCAGCGTTGTAAAATAGGATTGAGTCAGCTGTTGATACGTAAACATTGGCAGTTTTCAATGCATACTGGAAAGAAGAATGCTGTAAGTTTGTGAGTGTTCTTATTTGTCCCTGGAGAAACTTGTTTATCAGAATCCTAAAGTCTGGCAAATGGTTTGGTACAACTGTAAATTGATTTTTGGGTTGAGAGGGGGATGAGGAGCAAGTTGGATGTATTTGATTGGTACAATTATATTACTTAGACATTTCTCACTCTGTTTGCTCTCCCTGCGAAAAATCATAGCTAAAAACGTATAATGATGCATGAGTTACACCGTGTATCTTGTAGGTTTTTTGTTCATGCACACAGCATATAAGGATCTGGTCTTTTTAGGTTGACTCCATGTTTTGTACAGTCAATTTCAGGAATGGTAAAAATCTTATTCTCTCTTTCAAAGCCCACAGAAACAACATATGACAGTGCGACATAAGCGTGGAATGATATGGAATAATCACTGTAAATATTCTATCGAGTGTTATGATGTTTGAGTATGAAAAGAGCAATAAATGTTGGATACGTATTTTGAAGCTTTAGAAGATTTCTCCCCATTTTGGGAAAGTTGTTTTCCCTTGTATTACTTTGTTGCTTAGACTCACTTCTCTAAGTTGAACTTTCACTCAGTCCCACTGTTCATATTTTTCAGCAAAAAATATATTGGCCTTCTATTTAGGTTTTGGGTATCTGACAACAATATGACTTGATTCTTTACGTGATCTAATTGCAGTCCCATTAGGCAAGCCTTCAAAAGTGGTAATTTTATAGCCGGCTGTATTTTTGTTTTTATTCCAAAACAATGATCTCAAACTCCTAAGGGTTTTTTCTTGGTCATTGTTAAACTAGCATTTTGTATTTCTTTTTACATGGATTTAGACTCCATTGTATAAAACAGAACTATTTGTAGAGTTCTCTTACCTACTTAAAATGAGTCAGTTTGAAGACACAGCCTCCTGTCATACAAAGCACTTAATTTATTTCTAAATTCCATTGCTTGTATTGTGCTAATTTTCAGTTTTTCTGATGAAATAAAATAAATGGGCCACCCCTTTCTGTCTGCTTGCCCAGATCTACCTTTAAGGGAAAAAAAAATCAAACAGAACAGTTAGTTATTGTTGTTTTTTAAATAGAAATGGCCATGCTCCCAATACACAAAAGTAATGAAGTGTAGTGCCTTTTAGCAGAAACTTGGTCCAAAAATTTTGGGGTTTATGTAATTTTTTTAGTGGTTTGTACGTATGTCCCAGGTACATTTCGGTTCCTTATTGATAATTTATTAACTAGGTACATATCTCAAAATAGAGCTTTCAATTCTTAACATAGTTGGCATTGATGAAAAAGAAATTTAAAAATCATAATAATGTATTTTTAAAGATAATTTTTTTAAGTGTGGAGAAAGGCTTCCCACCCTTCACGCCACTCAAGTTGTATATTTGTTTTTCATAATGATGTCTTTGGTAAGGAAGTGCCTTTGTTACGTGTAAGCATTCAAAGGCAAATTGCCTTCTAAAAGAACAGTAGTTTCCAGCTGCTGGGGAAAATAGTAGTTTATCATTCTATCTCTTCAGAAGCAATATCACTAAATCATGACTATCACGAAAATCTGTTTTCCCCATATAAAAACATGTGCTGGATGCCCTTTGTATAAACAGTTACTTTATAACATTGTCTGTTACCTGATTTACTTGAAAACATATTAATTTGCCAAAGGGATTTGGTTTCCAGTAACATTTTACAAATGACTCCTCTTCTTGTGCTCTTATTTCTGGGAACAACCAGTGGTAAGTCTGCCCCATAGCTTACTGGTAAAAGGAAGAAGAAGCAGTTTCTATTAAATACTAAGCCTGTATTTATGTAAGTAGTTTTTAGAGCCTTAGCTTGGATTTAGGCCAAGGTTTAATAGTTCCAATCTATTCTGACTGGTAAGAACTTTCTGAACAAATCCACTGTCCTGTTTTGGTGTCTATACAGTTAATTACCCAAGTGTTCTGCTGTATGCAGGCATTGCATTGTCTCATTTTATGTTTGAATGATGAGAGCCCAAATGAATATTTATTCTGCTAATATGTTTGAAGCAACTGACAGAGATGTTTTCTTATTTTCTAATCTGATTTGAAAAGTCATAAACTGAATTCAGTGTCAATGTCCAGAAAACCAGGGACAGAATATTTTAATATTAATCCTCTGACAGTGATTTTTATAGAGCCTTTTTGAACAAAGGAAAAGAGAGGTTCCTCCTGCTCTCAGTTTCTCTTCTTGTCTACATTTCTAAGCAAGTAAAAGTATGTAGGCATATAATCAGATAGAGAGACACCTGAATTTGATATGTTTCTTCTTTTCTGTGATCATTTTACCGTGCTATTGTACTCACAGAGTGTTTGGCATAGTAAATTTTTGCTAATGCCTGGAATATCTATACAGAATTCATTCTGATTGATTGTTAGGGTGTACCACGCAGAAAAACAGCCAGTAGCTTTGTAGGAATTGAGATACAAACTAGATCAAGACAGAAGTGGACTTTAGAATGCAAAAAAAGTGTTTAGCCATCCAGTTGTGCTTGAATTCACAATCCAATAGATGTCAAAGGACACCTACTGCTTTCAACAGTTGGTGTTGAAGGAAAAAGGTAGAATTTTTGGGAGACAGAGAGAGTAGTGTAATTGCTGTGACATGTGAAAGTCCCAAATCTCTGAGGATTTACCTTTTGTGCCTCAATTTGCTCAGCTTGCTCACACTTTAAAAATAAATATTCT